TTGAAAACCTGTAATTTTTCGTATGTGTATTTCAAAGGGTTAACACATTTTGCTACAAAGTTCCAGTGCCCAGTAATAAGAGGGGAAAAACATGCTGATGAGACTCCAAAGAGAACGTCCTTTATTTGCTTTCATAACTTTAAAATTCCCACAGGCTGAGTGTAGAGGACTGGCTGAGGACATTGTGGGATTAAAAAAATGCTTGCTAAAGTTGCATGTTCAGCTCAGACTCTGTGGAGGACTACTGAAGCCCATCAGCTGGTGTGTTCTGCCATGTATTTGCTAGTCCAGTACAGGCGTTGCCATGGGAACTTGCGCTACCCCTCAGGAGTAGCTCCAGTGGATGTAGATCGGCTCGTCCGTGAGAAATTCTCCTGCTTGGTTTTCCAGTTCAGCACATCAGAGAACAATGGGATCTGTTGAATTAAGATGATCATGCCTGCAAGACAGGCCCCCTCTCCTCTGGTTGTGTGCTTTAAGAAAAATTCATGCACAAAAAAATTAATAGCTTTGAACTGTTTTATTTCTCTTCTTGTCAGTTTTGCATTTCTGTACTTGGCAACACAGACTTTAAAAAAGGAAACCCGGGGAAATGACTCTGAACGTCTCACTCCTTCTCTCCCCTGTAACACTCTGTTTAGTCAATGAGAAAATGAACTCTCCAGTGTTTGGGCTTGAAAATTGCTATTTATAATGCTCTCTCAAAGATGTACTCTGTCTGAAGGGGAAATTCTGATGTTGCCTGACCTGCTTTGCACAGTGAGCGATCCTGTCTGGTTGAAGGGAAGGCAGCGCTCAGGGCTGCTCCTTTACTGTACAGTGCTCTGAGCTCAGCAGCAGTCAAACCTGACTCTTGTCATCCTTGGAAAGACATTTGTACTCTGCCTTGGGAATACCAACTGTACTTTATAAAACAAGCATATTCCTTCATCTAATCAGCAGCTTCATTACTGCTCCGACAATGTGGCTTTGACTCCATATTTTTGTCCCTTGTGAAACATATAATGTCCCTTCACTTTTTGGCAATGCTGTTGGGTCGACTCCAAGTATAGTCCTGAGCCACTCTGCCCCTGGAAGAACTCAAAAGTATGAGATTGATTTTCATACGTTTTTGAGCCTGCATTAATATAATCTGTATAGTTTAATGATCTTCTACTTTTCCTGTAGCATTGCCATTATCTGTGACTTTCGGACATAATGATGGACACAGTTACTTTTGTCTTTTATTTTCTTTATTTTTTATTTTTTTTAAATTTTGGTTCGAAATGAATTAATTCAGTCATTCATGAATAGCCAAAATTATAACAGGGTTAGCAAATGATGTGAAGTGAGTCTGCCTGTTGTCTGTCTCCCCTGGATTCTCCTTATGCTTTAAGCTCCTGTGTTTAATGTGGCTAAACATTGAACTAACCTTTCAACTCACTGCACCCGTTACCTCTATGTTGAATAAAGTGGAAGCTGGAGAAGTTACTCCCCTGTGTAGTGATTATTATTTTCTTACTAAATATATTCATGAAGGCAACCCCAGAAAGCTAGGTTACACTTTTAACGCTAACTTAGTTGAACTATTGTAGTAAATACCAACGTGTGCGCGAGTAATGAAACATTATTCAAGTCATAGCGTTATGAACAAGTACCCATTAGCAAGCGTACCCATCCCTAATGTTTAGCACCATTTATTTAAAATAGTCTGCACGTAAAGACTTTCAAATTGGTCTGTAGAGTGTGGCTAATGTTAGCAGTGCTAGCACCAGCATCCTTCATTCCTTGTTGCAAGTTAACATCCACATGCCTGTGCTTGTTACACATTGCTCCGGACGAGTGGTTTTATGCCAGTTTAACCTGACACAACCAACACAACTGAACTTAATCTCCATTCACAAGATCAAAATACTACCACACTGTGCTGCTCCTAGGAGATAGTATCCGTTCACTGTGTTTGTTTGCATCCAGGTAGTAGAGCATTATGACAGCATCCATTACGGTAAGTGGAGCTACAGTCCCAGCTAGTGGCAGGCAGTAGTTTACAGTTGAGACATAGCATCTGATCCGCATTGCAGAATTGGAATGATAAAAAATATCAATAGTTTGTTAAATTGACTAGAAATCCACATGCTGACTTCAACAGTAGTCCGCAGTCGTGCACATACCTTAGGAAGATCACCTCCCATTAGTGAGGTAGTAGAGTGGGAAGTGCTTTCCTACGTGATACAAACTAGGATGATGCACGAGAATTGTGCTGTTTGTTGAAGAATGCTTCCATAGCACAAAAGGAAAGCAGAGGTGATAAATATATTCCTTGTCAAATAATGCTAGAAGTACCAAATCACTTAATATCATACCACGACCCACTCCATTTGCACTTTAAGGAAAGGCGAAGCATGTTTTGAAACACTCTTAACAAAAACGTTTGAGGAGAAATGTAAAAGTTTGTGGAAATGTAATTTACAGAATAAAGCTAATTAATGTTGTGGGCGACCCTGCGATTCCTATCCCTGGTGCTAACATGCTATACCAACATGTTGTAACAGAGGAGTGAAAGGTAGAGCAGAGGACATGCAGCTGATAGTACAGTGACTCAGGATTGAAGTTTAGAGAAGTGAGATGAAGAGATGAGTGGTGCAGAGCTGAAGCAGGGTTGTAGAGGGAGAAAATAGGAGTTGGACTGGGGGCGGAAGAGAGGAGGAGAACTATGTAGAGAGAGATAAATAGTTAAACTAGAGGTTGAGTTTGGGTTAGACCGCTATCCTCATCCTTTAAATATTCTTCTTTGGTTGATAAACACAACATACAAACCCTTTGGCTTATATCCTGACTCTTGTGTCTCCTAAGAATACGGTGGTAGATTTCTCATGAAATATATCCAGATACAAAACAAAGATCTAAGAGAAGGTGGAGTTTTGTGTGTTTTGTTCTCTGCATGTGTAAGCAAGTTTTCTTCCCTATAACTATGTTTCTGTGTGTTTATGCACGTGTGCATTTGCATGGTCACTGTGATACACAATTGGAGGTCTGAACTTGGCTTACCCGGCTCTCTGTTGAGCTGAGGTGAGCTGTGCAGCCCTCATGTGGCTTTTCTGGGCTGCTCCACTTGCCCAGACTGTCAGGGTGAAAAATTATGGCCCAAAAACAATGATTACCGGGTAAATTCCAGTGTTACATTTTACATCTCGGCAACACTAGAACCAAGATGACAAGAGACTTTATCAAGACCACAATCCCAGAAACATTTGTCATTGCATAACTACTCAACCAGACATGCAACAGGAGGGAACTTTATTTCACCAAAAGCAAGAACCAACTCCATCAAGTGAACAGTTATGTTTCAAGCAATGCATGAAGGAAACACAAGTAACACAAGAAAACAAAAAAAGTAGATTTACATTTTAAATAAAGTGGTATCTTTTGACTAGAGCCTGACTGATTAATCAGCCAGCCGATATTATTGGCCGATATTGGCATATCCAGTGACTATCGGTATCAGCTAATTTTATCGCAGATATATGCCGATAGTACTATTTTATTCATTTATTCATTGTGTTGCACTAGCAGTTCTCTTTACTCAGCCGAATGTGTAAGCCGATGGCTTACATCAAGCATGATCACTCTCCAGAGTGTCAAGCGCTGATGCTCATACAAGCGCAGTTACTTTCTATTTGAGTGACCATCTTCATTATCTTTTCCACAAGTATTTGATTACTGCATTTGAGGGATCAACTCTATCTATGTATCGATCTAGATTAAACATACATCTAAGAAAGATATCGGCCGATATATCGGTATCTCATTTTTTTCCTCCTCAATATCGGGAACGGCCCCAAAAATCCCACATCGTTCAGGCCCTACTTTTGACAGAATACTCTGAATAAATGTGTATATTTGTTTGCATACATAGATGTGTGTGTCTATATATATATATATATATATATTTATTTATTTTTTTCAGTTTTAACCATAGACTGAAAATATTAAAGGACAAAGCCTGAGTGATGTCAGCCATCTGTTACAGCAGGGGTCTCACCCTAACTTTCAGTCAACCCAACGACAGCCTTAGAGCCAGAGCTGAGGTGGGTTTTAAGCCTCTTGACGGACTGTTACGTCACACCCACCTGTCAATCATGTTAGCTACGTGTCTAACTATGGATAACATGTGTCGTTCATAAAATTCAAGTGAGCCGTTTAAAAAAACAAATCCCCCCTCGTGCAGTGTGTGCCAGTGATCACAATAACTAATCTCAGACCTATATCGTTTCTTGTACCAGGCTGTAAACATGTTCATTTATGCTAGCAGTTACTGTTTCTTGGACACTAATTAATCCATCTAAACTGTATAGCACCTTTCATACAATCACGCAGCCCAAAGTCTTCTACATATGAATAAACAGGGAGAAAATAAAAGCACCAACATTTTGTAATAGAGAGTTCTTTGTTTGTAGTAGAATAAAAATGTAACTGAACATTATGTGAAACGTGAAAGTATAAATAGTAGAATGAAGCAGCCTACATTGGTAAAACACAGAGACTAAGTTGGCATTGAGGTCTCGACCACTTCCTGTGGGCATGATAACGCTCATTCCTTCAACCGCATGTGTAGCAGTGCCAGGGTGTAGGTGGGCAGACGAGGTCAGCCTGTTGCAATGCCTTGCCTGTTTATGACCACAGAAATTGAAGTTACATAAAAGGCTAAACTTGAGTTACAGTTGTGCTTTTGACTCTTAAAAATAAAATGCCCTTACTATATCATCAGCCATTAGGGAAACATGGCGTGTTAAAGTGCTGTCTATAACTATAACACAGCAGTCAGTATGTCCTCCTCCTGAGTTTCAATTCGAGATGCAGAATGGTTTGTTTTTTGTGTTAACCAGAGAAGGTCAGGTGGTTTTGGATGGCTCTCAGTTTGCCAGGCTGATGTACATATTCATGCTGTTTGAATTTATTTGTATACATTTGTAACCCCTATTTAGTGGTTGCATAACTTCCTGTGTCTTCTTGTCTTTCAGGTACTGGAGAAAGTGGCAAGAGCACCTTCATCAAACAGATGAGAATAATCCATGGATCGGGCTACACAGATGAGGATAAGAAGGGCTTCACCAAGCTGGTCTACCAGAACATCTTCACCTCAATGCAGGCCATGATTCGCGCAACTGAGAACCTCAATATCCCGTACAAGTACGAACAGAACAAGGTGCGTACTGTCGAGTGTTCTCAATTCAAGACAACAATGACAAGACTCAATGCAAAAAAATTCAACTTTTAAAGAAGTTGCCAACACTGAGAGGCATGATGTTCCCAAATGAGTCACGAAGAATTCAGCCATCACCACTCATTTTTTTTAAGATTTAGAGGCAATCTCTCATAATTTCCACTCATGATTTTCATTTTTCCTCCTCAGGTATTATCTTGACATGTGGTGGTTAAAGTCTGCTTTTGTGCCCTGTGCTTTTGCTCTCCTAGAATAACGCCCAGGTGGTGCGTGAGGTGGATGTGGAGAAGATATCATCATTCGATCAGCCGTACATTAGTGCGATAAAGATGCTCTGGACTGACCCTGGCATACAGGAGGCCTATGATCGCAGGAGAGAGTACCAACTCTCTGACTCAACCAAATAGTATGTCTACTCCAGTAGCATGAGTGATGATTTACTTGATGTATGAAAGTGGAGAAGCAATAATACTGTCTCACTGTGACCCACAAGATATCTCATATAATGTGATGAACTTAGAAGGCGTATTGTGTAAAGTACTCACATTTCATGTACATAGAATATAAACATGAAGTGACATAATTGCTGTTTGTGAAGATTTCAGCAGATCCATTTGAGCAACAGCTGACATGGTTAAACCATTTAATCAGACATGAATGGCTCTTACCTTACAATGTAAATGAAACTAATGTGCGATGAAAACTCACATGGTCCTTTTTAATGACTGAACTATGTGAAATTCCTTAAATTCCCATCCCTAGAATTTACTTATATTATCTGATTTTAATAGTAGAGCCAAGAGTATTGAAATCTAAGACGCATTAAAAGGTTGCCACATGTTGAAAGATGGGTTCGGGCAGATAGTAGAGTCGGGTACAGGGTTTAGGGGTAAGGGTAAATGTAAAGGTTGAGGACAGAAAAAAAATCATGTAGAAATTACTTTTTTTGAGCTTCTACTGAGTATATGAAGATTTATTTAGATGATGGCTCTTAAATGGTTGTTAATAGTTTGGGTCATTACAATGTACATGTGCACGTTGGGACTGCTGGTTTGCCTACTTGTCATATGTTCCTTCCCCCCTCCACAGTTACCTTAACGATTTAGAACGAATATCAACGAGCGGGTACGTACCCACTCAGCAAGATGTGCTGCGAGTCCGAGTGCCCACCACCGGCATCATTGAGTACCCATTTGACCTGGAGAATATAATCTTCAGGTACTGGTGTCAAGTGCAGCTGCTGATGTTGCTGGTTGGCTCGCTGCGTGACAGTTGGTCAATCAGTTGAAACCGTCGATGCTGCTATATCTGCATCTCCCCCTGCTCTGCACAGCAGGGCCCAGCACTTTAAAACATCCATGATGGTACACTCTCAAAGCCTGGACTCGAGAGCAGGACACAGCCCTCCTATTCATTACTGTGGGGGGGAAAAAAGGCAGTTAAAGATGGCTTTTTTTAGTGCTAAATCGTCTTTCTGTAGTCAAGCAAAAAGTCCCTGCATCAGTTAAAGTGCACACTGAGAGCTTTAAAATCGAGGAATGGTGTGTCTTTGGGAGCTGCCATCAAGGATGAAGCTAACTTTCTAAGAGAAACTTTGGGGCTAAAGGCACAAACCATCACCTAAACCCCTCATAACTCTTGGGAACGGCTTTCTGTGGTCTCATCTGGACTGTTCCACTTGCTTTTGGCAGGGGTGTGCTGTATCTGCTGTTATGCTTCACTTTCTCTTTCCTCCCTCTCTCTGTCTTTTGTTGTTCTTCCTGTTTTCTAGCTATCTAAGCGATCTGGATCGTATCGCTGAATCGTCCTATCTGCCAACCCAACAGGACGTGCTTAGGGTTCGAATCCCAACCACTGGGATCATAGAATACCCCTTCGACTTGCAAAGCATCATTTTCAGGTAGAAGAAGAACCACACAGCTTTTACTAACTCCACTTGAATCACCCCTTCAGTGTTTAGTTCATATTTCAAAAATCTAACCAGTAATCGTAAGTCTGAGATAACATGCTTGTACTTCACACTACAACATGTTTTATGTCCCCATTTGTCCAACCATGTCTCAGTCCTTTCTGTTATTGTCACTATATTTAATGTGAAACATTCATGAACATGCTACCACAGCTGAGAGGCACTTCATTAATAGAAAATGATTCAGAAAGTTTGTTGTGATCCTTAAGATTTAGGCCCTGGTTGATTTAGGGACACAGATGGTTTCCATGGTAACGGTGTGTGTGCAGTTACATTTTTCACAGGAAACACAGAAATAAAACAGAAAACCAGAGAGAGTATGGTCTCGCTGCGACCAAACACATCATGTTTACAAACGGAAGCCAGTCAATAATAGAGTTTTTTTTATTTTTTGAGAACAGTGATGTGATAAGAGAGGAGTTTTCTAACAATAACATCACAAAATGACAGAAGCTGGCCCGCTGATGAGTTGGACATGTGGAGACTTGTCACCTGGTCCTCTGTAGATCTTATATAACTGCTCTCTGTGGCTGCTCATTTTTGTTGCATTAGTCACTTTGCAGAAATTGATAATCATCCTCTGAAAAACAGGCAGGAAGATGATCATGCTGTTTAATAATGACTCAATATAGTCACAAGTGAAAAAGGAAATGAACAGTAACCTGCCAAATACTGCAGAGTTACATACAAGCATCATTTCCTGTAGGCGGGTTGAAAATAGCAAACAGTCTGAATCCAGTGATGGAGTCTTTCACTTACATGGGAAACTCAACTTTCACTTTATTCTAAAGCACCTTTTTATATACATAAGCATGCAGCCCAACGTGCTCTACTAGGGGACAGAGAATAATGTATAGATTAAAAAAAAAAAAAACATAAATTGAAATGATAAAAGACTAGAGCGAGAAAATCATTTTAAAAAGACCTGGTGATAATAATGGAATACAACAGTAAAAAGATTATGACAATAATTAACTAAAATTAATAGAAATGAGTAAAAAGTTGAACAAACCAAAAAAGTACACAATATAAAAACAATCATAAAAGAGTGAACCAAGGCAGTCGGGAAATACTCCAGATTAAAAACCAGATCAAAAAAATATTCAAATACAAAATTGAGGATCAATTACTGAATTTGAAGGTTTTTAATGGCTTCTACAGAAGAAAAAATCAGGCGACAAATAGTATCATGGATAGGTTCAGGGTTTTGGGATTCAATTTCTTGCAATGTTAGTAAGAAAAAATACCCTGCCATTACCTACATACATCTTCACTGTCATAGTTCATGGCTTATTCTGTCTCTTTATAATAATTGAGCTTCAGGTTTGCGATTGTAAGCATCCCATAATGTGCAGAAAAAGCCTTACAGTTAATCTGTAGAATAGGTGATAATGAAAACAATTTCAGGTACTCTACATGAATCTGTGTTATCACTTAAATCCAGTCAGTTAATTGGCACAGAATGGCCGTGTGCATGAGCATTTAATTTATAAAACATTCAACATTTCTCACAGGCAGTGCTTTTATGTAATAGTCCCTCCTAGTTTATTATTCCTCGGCTCTGTTCTTGGCAAAGAGACAGTCTTGGAACCCGCCACCAATACACAGAGCAGCTTCCCCTCCTCCTCCTCCTCTTGAAAAAAAAAACAGAGAAGATTTGGAGTTAGAGATAGATCCAGGGAACAAGAACGATTACAGAAGAGTGCAAATCGATAGGAAGCCATCATGTCAGCCCCCTCCTACGCTTGGCAGGGCTAGAAATAACTGCTTGCAGTGAGGTTGTGCTGAAGAGGTTCCCAGCAGCCTTGCTGCAGCTACCTGATAGGCTCTCTGCTGTTTGGCTCTGCTGCTGGAGGTGAATCACTGCATGCTCTCAATGACATCAGCTTTGTGTTTGGAGAGCAAAAATACATACATGAAGTGGTTAAAATACGAGGGGTCAAGTTATATTGAAAGAAAAGGGAATTTATCTGATGTGAAGGAGACTTATTTTATGGATTTTCCATCGATTATAGTCGTCATCCCTCCTGGCAGACTCACTCACCGAGTGAACTCATCTTTGTAATCATGTGATCAAGGGTTCACCGCCTAGCTTTTGAATGTTATTGTCTTAATAGTGAGATGTACAATGACTTACATTTTGAATACAGCAACACTTCAGTTCAGAGTCTGAAGATGTATCTTCTTCTATAAGAGATAATAACTGAATTTTAGCCATTATTCTCATGTTAGCTAGAAGCAGTAGGTTTCCAGTCAGATATAATCTTACTTGCCCCTTCTTAGTTTGAACCCCAATGAGAAAGAAAGTCAAGTCAAACCAAAATATGGAAAATGAAAAATGGTTAATCAAAGAATCGAACATTTCTGTAATATCCATTTTCTCTCTTTGACTTCCCATTTATTTAATCTTCCATTTCTCTCTCATCTGGTTACCTTCCTCGTCTTCGTTGCTCTCTTCACATGCCTCACATTAGCACCTTTTATATCTACTTTAAAACGACTCTTCCTGCATGAACTCTTCAGATAGAAGGATGGCATCGTGTGTTCACATGCATACACTTTCTGTTTAGTTTACTGTCAGGAAGTTCTGCTCTGTCCTCTCTGTGATTCTCTGTGCACATTCTCCGTTCATGTTTCTTCTTCTGTTGTCTCTGTGATAAAGTGTGGATGCATGAACCACACATTAGACATTGTTTTGAATTAGTAATAGCTAAGCCATTTTTGCAAGATGAATGTGTCTTTGCACAGATTCATATTGTAATTGAAATCATACTCATGTCCTAAAGTGACTGGTCTGTCAGGGTCTCCTCTCTTTTAAAAATGTTGATTTAAATATACTTTACTGCTTTAAGTAAATTAATTTGTTTGATGTGTATTCTAATTATCTGTGGTTCCAGAGTGGGACACCCATGGTAAATAAGAATATTTAATACATTGAAATAATAATCTGAATGTGTGCTTACCAGCTAGTTTGAAGTTTAAACAAGCGAACGATCAATCGAGAAACACAAAGTGAGAGATTTGGACCTAATTCTACACCTTCTCTTTTATGTGATATCTTCCGCCCTCTGTTTGATCGTCTTCTATCTGATCTGCCTATTAGGATGGTGGATGTGGGGGGTCAGAGGTCAGAGAGGAGGAAGTGGATTCACTGCTTTGAGAATGTCACCTCCATCATGTTTCTGGTGGCGCTCAGCGAGTACGACCAAGTCCTGGTGGAGTCAGACAACGAGGTGAGGCAAAGACGCAGGGGTGATTTTCAGAACTGTCGAGTGCATACACTAAGATGTTATCACATTTTCTCTAGTTTGTAAGCTGATTAATTTGCTTCTGTAATTTGGCTTTGAAAATAGCTTTATAAGCATACTGGTAATTATTCTTCATATATTATTCATATTCATATGGACTGGTATGATATAGTGCTGACACTGACAAAGAAAATCAACTTTGAACGAATTAAGAATATGACACGGTAATGTTTGAAGACATTCTAACCCCAGCTGACACCGCACAGACACAAAACATTTCCATTACTTCATTTTTCTTTAGAAATAATGAGCTTAAAAGCAACACCCTGTAGACATTCAAAACTACTTATTTTTAAAAATATAATTCACCAGAATCACAAGTCTATCAGCTTTATCAGGATCAAGTGCAGCGCTCTATTTATTCACATTAGCTGCTGATAAGAACATCCGTTTGGAGAGTATAGACGTTCCTGCTACACACAAATATTTTGGGCTTTGTAGCGACCCTGTGTCTCTCCACCAAAGCAGTGGGCTGCTGTCTGCAGAGGGACAAGACTCGTTTAAGTTTGCATCACCTAAAATTACACCGTTTTTTTTGCCACAACAATACTGAATTCATTTACTGAGGTCAAGAGTGCATTAAAATGGTCCAGTTACGCTGAGAGCGCCCTCTGCTGGATCAAACTTTAAACAGCCTGATGCGCTGATGGACTGTATATTTTCAATTTGAACGGCTTATCACAGTTCGAATGTGAACTTTCTCCCCGAGGTTTTTGAATAAAAAATGACAGCTCTAGTTTGAAATGACCTAAAAAAGACACTACAGACATCTTAGATGGTGGACAAAGAGACAGTCTGACACTTTAATGACAGTTTTTTTTTTCCATTATATCAATGCTACATGTAACTGGACGTATTCACAGTATCAACAGACGAGTGGGTAGATACTGGCGATCAGAAAAAGAAATGAAACAGCTTCATTACCTGCACAATGATCGCTCCCTGAGGTTGGTTTTTCAAAACATTTCCTGCGACGTTCCAAAATCAGCTTGAACATGTCCTTCACATGGAGATTTTACTCTGGGGCTGTCAGGGAAAAGTCTGGAGACAGGCTGGGTGGAAAATGTGGCTGATTTTGTTCATCCATGCAGCTGGCCCTGAAAATGTGGTTAAATAATGAGGAGTTGCCTTCATGAAAAGAGCACGCTGTTATCTGTTATTCCTAGTAAACGACTTCAGAGAATGATTTCCCAACTCTTCATTTTCCATCAGCTTTATAAAGTGCCCAAGGACTTTGATTTAGTTTTCCAGCGTGCAGCTTTAATATTTCCCTCCATTTTCACCACTCTGAACTTAGATTGATCAATGAGCTAGAGCGCTGAAGGGCAGACAGACAAAGGTAGTGCCAAACTGATGAACCAAGTGGAAAATATAGCTGCTTAGAGATCCCTGAGAAGTTGGTGTTGACCAAAACCGAGCTAAAAGCTAAACAAATATTGGATTGCCATTGGTCAGGGTTAGGGTTCGCTTGCAAATGAAAGTTCACATTTTTGTGTGTTAGCTAGATCTCTAAATGAGCAACTGTTGACTTACAATTCCACATTGAAAAATCAAAAAGACGCGTACATCCCTAAGTGGGTGCTGGATCCAAAAAAAAGAGTAGTTTTAAAGAAGCAAAAATAAAATATCTGCACACCAAGGAGCTCTCGTTTGAAGGATTTATTAACAAGGGAAGTTTCGAGCTACAGAGACCTTTTCTCTCATGTATGTGGTCGACTCTGACTCTGCTCAGCAAGAATTATGGCCAATAAAACTAATGTGATCAGCCGCTGCATTGCCCTCTGTTCCCCTCCTGACATCAAACCCTTTCTTTGACCTGATCATATGACTACCGGGTTTCATAAACCAGACCAGCTGCCAGCTCGTCTCACTGTTGTCTGTGGAGCTGTGGGGATGTACAGCAGATATATACTTTACCAGGGTCAGTGGTTTTCTAATAGGCGTGCCCTAACTACGCACATATACAGCACACTGCTCATTGTCTTTAACTGGCCTGCCTAATGTGGGACCTTATTGGACACACAAAGACAGGAAGATGTTTTCATTTTTGCTTATTGCTTTTTATTTTGTTTTCCCTGACTCTCATGAGTACATGGTCACAGGTGGTAGGCGACAGGGACACTTCTGATGCTGTTATTGGGCTCTGTTTCTAAGTGGTGGACGGCTGAGACAAGATTTGTCAGCCGTCACAGTCTGCAGATATAATCCCTTATTGCTGACAGGTTGAGGACTGACACTTTGACCCTGTAGACCAGTCAGAGCCTGACCACATTGTTTTCAAAACCTCTTTTGATTTCATCAGTGCCATCCGTTAAGATCTTCTATTTTGACTTTCCAAGAATAAACTGTGCAAGTGATTTTGGCAAGAAGTTGAGATCAGAAAGAAGAAGACAGAGCCGCTTCCAGTTTTGAGCAGTTTACATTAGTAGGCCACACTTTAATGTGTGCTGGACAGTTTTCTTTGGAGGCTTATATCTGAACAAGCCTGGAGAAAACTCATTTTCTTAGTGTGGTTGTCTTGAGTGATCCCTGACTACATCCCATCTACGCAGTGCAGTGCAATGCTGCATTTAATATTGAACACCATCCACTGACATCCCCTCACAATTATAAGTAGATACATGTTGGAGGCAGAACAGCCTTGGTTGATGGGGGAAAAAAAACAACACTCAAATCAGTGAACAGGGCTGGACTGCTAATTTGGCATACCGGGCATCTTTCTACGGCTGATATGGTATTATTTTTTTCTGTAAATGTTTATCACTGGCCCTCATAGCAGGGGCAGCAGCCCATTGGTTGTTTTTCTTTATAATGACAGTTAGCTGGCCCAATCACCCCTCCTACAGGGCTGTCTCCACAGATACTGGAAAATGTTTAAATCTGCTGTTCCTGCAGCATGGTCTGCTCGTGCAGTAGGCCTTCTCACTGCCAACTGTCATAAAGACACAGGTGGAGAAGTGTGTGGTGGCAGGCAGACAGCAGGATGATCATGTGTGTGTCAGGGAACCTTCACCTGCATTGGAGCTAATGATGGTCTTGCATAGCATTGAGGGAATTAGTTCTGTATGCTATCATATCGTTACATTAGAAGGCTGAGGGTTCCCTTAAAGATATAGGCCTGTGAAATTGCGGTTTGAGGTTAAATCTGTTGCTCCTCTGTGCCTAAATGTATGCTGGGGATGGTTATAATATCTTATCACACTGAATAAACTCCATTACAAGCAGAAGTTCTGCTTTCAAACCTTAGTTAAAAACATGTGACTACTTAAAGTTGGGTATAGATACAGTAAAAGTTTCCCTTTCAGAATTTTACTTTTATTCCAATATCACAGCCACATCATTGGGTTTTATTCCTCAAGATGTTTGTATGTGTTGACTGACAGGGCTGGAGTTGGGGAAAAACCTCATTCAGAAGGTGTGTTATCATCCGAGCTAAAGATAAATCCCTATATCAGCCTTTTATTTTTTGGGGTAATTATTCCCTCTATAATAACTAATTCACAGATCCTATACCTCTTAAGTACAATACAAAGTATGGTAATACTACCACACAGAGACTTTTCACCAAATGAGTGCACTTACTTTACTAACAGGCCATTGATCTCAGCTAAGCAACGCTAGAGATGTTGTAAAGGATATTATAAGAGAAAGTAACATATTAATGGATCTGCAAAACATACCTCCTGCTCTTTTAGTGTATATAGAATATGTTTTAATTCTACTGTCTGGATCATCTTTACAGTTTATTTTCAACAAGTTTATTCTACCGAAGGACTCACAGAGCAAAGTTAAAGTAACTCTTGTCTTGCCACCCAAAACTGAGGAGTTTCTCGGTATAGTCATTTAGCATCGAGCTATGTTTTCTAACCATCATCCAATAGGTGAAATACATACAGTCCATACTGTACAGACAGGTTTAAACTATTATGAAAAACATTCCAGCTAAATGTAGCAAGTAAAGGCTACACATTCACTGACTCACAGTCTCTAATGTGACTGGTATGGACTTATAGCAACACTTTGGCTCTATTTCAAACACACATCATCATGGTCTGTTCAGCGTTGGAGGGGCTGATATTAAACGTTTTAGTATTTTACCTTATACAATTCCTATAAACTGAACCCTCTAAGCCTCGGTCAGACATCATACAACTTGTTTAATAATAAGGTTATACAGTGGAAAGTGAATGAAGCAGAGTTTAAACCTCTCTGAATTATCCTAACCTCGTGTTTTTGTTCTTTTTAGAATCGTATGGAGGAGAGTAAAGCTCTGTTCAGGACCATCATCACATATCCCTGGTTCCAAAACTCCTCTGTAATCCTCTTCCTCAACAAGAAGGACCTGCTTGAGGAGAAGATCATGTATTCTCACCTGGTGGATTATTTCCCAGAGTTTGACGGTCAGATTACTTCTTTTTTTTTTTCCTCTCCACGTTATGAGATATCTTAATTACAACAACAAAATAGAGATGTGGAATTTATTTATTAAACCATCCATACGTGTTACAAACTGAGCCACACTTTGGCAGTAATGCTCTGGTGATCGATCTTCAGTCACTGGTAATAATTTAGGGCCCTAAATATTCTGAACATCATACGAGCTGCTTTTTAACTAAACAGTGAAAGTATCTACAGATATCCTGAATGTGTTGACGTTTATTATTTTCTTTCACTCCCAATGTCTGACTTTATCAAGGCAGGAACCTTTACCAACACTTTAAAGGATTTAATCTACCTTTTTGAATTTACAGTGACACCTCATGGTTAAAGTGCGGTACTACAATGTGTGCTGATACTTGAGTCAATCTGTTTAGATTCTGACCCTATAAAGAGTAGAATAGATCACAAATAACTATATTCCACTCTAATGATGAATCACAATGGAACCATGTCGTCCAGAATCAACTTTTTGTTAAGTTGTCTTCAACCCATGCTGGCTGAAATGACAAAGTGGTAAAAAATGTGAACTGATGCTAAAATGATGTTTGATAGTAGCTAAAATGAATGAACGTGTTCCTCCCTCAGGTCCCCAACGGGACGCCCAAGCGGGTCGGGAGTTCATTTTGAAGATGTTCGTGGACTTGAACCCTGACAGTGACAAGATCATCTACTCCCATTTCACGTGCGCCACCGACACGGAGAACATCCGCTTCGTCTTCGCCGCCGTCAAAGACACCATCCTGCAGCTCAACCTCAAAGAGTACAACCTGGTGTGAAGAGAGAAATACAAAGAGAGGAGGAGAGAGAGAGCAAGAAGAGACCTGCAGTCCCAAACACACAATGCAGTCCACTTCTAGAAAACCCCCACACATGTGCATGAAACTTAGTGCTGCTCATTAAGTGTTGCTTCATACTTTACAAGAAAACACTATCCACGCTTTGTCCCTGCTTTCCACTTCGCTCCTTCTTTATCGGTTTTCTCATTTTCTAAAAAAAAAAAAAAAAAAAAAAAAAAAATGGTGACCTCTTTGTGATTTTTAATTTTTGCTCCTCTTGTATAAAAACACACACGCAAAACACACTTGACTACGAAAACACTCCTTGCATTTGTCCCCCCTCTCTTTGGGGTTTTGGGTCTGCTCCTCTTGGTTCCCATGTGACCTGAGGCATGGATCATATGTTCCCTTTCCAGTACACCACATTATCAGCAGTGCTTTGTGTGTTTGAGGTGGGTCGAGGGCCTTCTCTGGGAAGACTAAACTTTCATGGACAACGTGCTCTCTACCCTCCTTCTTATTTAACCTGTGCATTCTAAACACTACAGCATGAGACCACGAGGCCGGGCTGCAGACCCTGGACTCTGCTCATGTGCAAAGGGTAACTAATTATGATGATAGGTATATATATATTATCAGGCAGTGTTGGAATACAGAGTGGTACTTGGTTCCCCTGGGTCTTGAATTGTTTATTTGATTTAGTTTGTTTGTTAATCTCACCCCCCAAAATCAGAGCACAGAAGCTCTGTTGAATGTAAATAAAGTTTTCATGCTTCTCACACAGAGTGAGGGCTACACAGAGACCACTACATGTTCTCTGTAGACTTTCAAGATTTTCTTCTCTTCTTGCTTCTAAACGGATCCTTCTTTTCCTCCAGTTACGATTGAAGATGATTACTAATGGAATGCCAACTCCAGAGAGAGTCGCAGTATGATGATCCATTCACATTGCCCCTTTTGTTAAAAGTGCGTCCTAAAAAATCAACACTACCAGTTTTGACCTACTATATGTCAACTCCCCAGTCATTTTGGACAACATTGCCAAATTAAAAAACATCTCCTTTGTGTCTGTTATTATAACAATGTTTGCCAGTATCCAGTTCATCCCTTATGTGGCTCAGATCATTACAAAGTATTTCTAAAAACTGGCTTGCCAAAATCAAGCGCAAGATCTTTCTCGCGTTGGATCATTCAGATGTCGATGGCGTGACTGCTCGACCTGTGTGGCATTTATTCATCTCGACTGACATCTGAATCCCACGTGTTCGTACTGTGATCTGTTTTCTTTGCTTTTTGATGGTGAGAGTAATCTTCCTGTGCACAACGTGCGAATGATGACACCAGATGAGTATGGTGCAATAGTCAGCTGTAGATGAAACGAAGCTTTTACGCTGTCTGTTAGCCTGAAGTCATGAAGTTGGTCTTGATCATTGATATGGCTTCTCTCTGTATCAACGTCATTTTGCCATGTTATGTGGCCAACATTCGATAAACTGTAATGAATAGCGAGAGAGTAAATATTTCTTTTTTTTTTTTGTATGTCTTATTTATCAATCAGATCTACGTATTGTTGAGACATTAATGAGACTTCCTCTCTAGTTTTAGCTTCAAGTTTTTCCAACTGAGGAAACAGGAGGAGATTTTATACTGCTGTAAAATATCACAACTATTTTATGGACAGTGTGTTCTATCTTTCTAATGATACTTCATATATTTAGTTGTGCAGTTCTGTTTTGAAATGCTTGACGATGGAAGGTGCAGTTCCCATGTCAGGTTTTGTGCTTTATGCAAACAGGAAAATGAAAACGAGACAAAAAACTTAGTGGTTGAATATTTACTGTTCACGGATGCTTGCATTTTTTTGTAATTCTTGAGGATATGTGTTGGCTATTGGTACCAATCCCATATCGTGTGTCTTGCCTGATAGTTGTTTAAATATTCCATTAAGCTGAGAGTTAATAGATGGCTATTTTTGTCTTCACAATGTAATTCAGGTAAGTTTTTGTCATAACTTTTACATCACAAGGGCTACTACTAGCAGCTTTGGTAAAAATGAAAGGTCTCTGTGGACAACATGGAGCAAAAGGTGCAATTAATTAACAAGGGTGGGTGTGCTATGAATCAGAATGTGTTGACATCCAGTTGAGGGGAATGGTTGCAGGTTCAGTGAGGGAGGAATGCAGCAGTCCACAGATGCAGCCTACATGACATTTCCTGACTGGGGGAAGTCTGGTGGCTCTTTGTTCTCTTTTTCTTTTTGCCTTCAGAGGAGGAGAATGGCTCACATCAAAAGACGTTATGTTCACTTAACCATCCCGCTATGAATCCGTGCCGACTTTCTTGACTTTACAATATTTCCCTCTATGGGTTGTGTGTATTCGGCTTCTTTTTCTCATTGCTAGTTATTTTCATGTTTGACTGTTTTGGAGTCAGAAAAGGGCAGTGCTTGGGAAATTCTATAGTTTTGTGCAAATCAATCATTCCAGCACAATGAGCTGGAAGGATCAAATAAAACCTAAAAGAAATAACAGAATATGGTTAAACTAAAATGTTTGAGAGAAGAAGATATGCCTGCTCACTCGCTCAAATTTAAACTAACTAACTACCCCCTTGGATTTTTAACTGAAACGTTTTTTTGTGTGACAGCTCAAAGATTTGTTGGTTTTTCTTGCCCTGTGTGTTGTTCTTAAGTCTCATGACTACGATGAGAAAAATCTAAAGGAACACATACTCATGTGTTTAAGGTGTTTGAAACCCATCGTCTAATATGTTAAGAAGGAGGGATATATTATCTAAAAGAGGTGCCACACTTTTTATGGGTTGAATCAAAATTTGAGTTCTTGCAAAGTGTCATTCCTTTTCTTGGCTTGTATTGTTAAAACGTTGCTCTTTGGTGCTTCAGCCGATGTTTAAAGGCCTTTTCTCGACCAGTTTGTCCCATGTGTAGGGTGACGCTCTTACACTAGCTTTCATAATTGTTTTTTGTGCAAACGTATCACTTTACAGCTAAGAGGTTTCCTATTTTGATATGTGAATGACTAGCCGAGTAATAGAAGTGTTTGGTTCTGCTGTGGTGAAGGAACACTGTGGTGTCTAATGTGTTTTAAAGTTTCGGTTTGGCTTTCAGGAAGCACCCTGCATTCCTTTGAACCGCGTCTTGCCACCTTAAGGGCAGGCATGTGGTCTCCTTCTTTATGTGGATAATACACACAGTAAAGGTGACCACTATGGGCATACTGCCATACATCTTAACAAACCTGTTTGCTCACTTTTGTCCAGAATGATTTGCACCCGACAGCTGCCAAACCAGCACAGAAAAAGTCACATGACTACACTACCAATGTTGAAAACAAAAAACAGAACTGGGTTTGTTATTGGTTTTGCATAGGACGCATTTAAGATACTTTTTTTTTTTTTTTTAGACAATCCCTCACGAAACACTGTGCCAAACAAAACCAATCAGACAGAAAAGAAATAAAAACTCAATTAGTTGTAACCTAACCCAGATCTTCCTGTTCACTCTTTTTCCTGATGAAGTTTGTGTTCAGCCTCGGTATTAGTAAATGTATTAAATGATTTGCCAAGTGAAGGTACTGAACCAGCCAATATGACATGTTGTGTTTTATAGCAAAGTGAGTGAATGAATCTGCTTCATGCTGCATTTACATGTCTGCCATTCTCCACTCTTTTTTTTTTTTTCCCCTCCTCACTTCTTTGGACTGTGCATTCCTTCAATGGGTTAAAGGCACTCAAACCGTACCACTGCAATGAGCCTGCATTCATGCAAAGTTAGATGTCCGTTCAAGTGCGCTTGTTGGTACTCTGAAGTGTGTGTGTGTGTGAGTGTGTGTGTGTATGTATGTATACACTTTTGATGGCTATTGCTTTTGCTTGAGATCCATTCTGATTAGAGGGATGGACATACAGTGATATTAAAAAGCTATCTTTGCATCTTTCTTCTTTTGTAAAGTTGAAACACCTTAACACCTGTATTTAGGACCACTTAAAACTTTTTTAAAAGAGTTCAAATAAACTTTGTGTAGTGGTGTACAAATTGAAAGTAATGTATTTTTGTTTTGATTTTTTTCTCTTTTTTTTTTTAAGTATACCAAATGTAAATGATGTACAATGAGTGTGCCAACCCCCTTTCTTTGTAAAGCCAGATTCTTAACAAGTGCCAATGTTGTGAAAAATAAGAGGGCCTGTGAATTTCATGGTCCACTTTTTAAAACAAACACTCAAGTATGTGATTAATTAAAAAAAGGACAATTTCATTCTATATTTAAGATTAACGATGAACTGCTGTTTTTCAAGGTAAATGTCATTTTAATCGCATGTGTTTGTCAGGTTGGGGAGGGAGTGGGTGGGTTAGATACTGTATTCATGCAACACCCTCACAAAAGGGTCCTATGGTCGGCTATTGATTTACAGTATTTTAGCCATATTTCTATTTTCTATGTTTCATTTCAACCACTGTTGCCTGAACCTCATTCAAACATGAAATGATTTTCATAGCCTTCTCCTTTAAATGTTTTAAATTGGAATAAAATATGTTCCTATACTCTCTTATGGCATCCTTCTGACTGTTTTCTTTCATTTCTGGATCTTAAAAAAAATATACCCTTTTTAAAAGAATCTGATACGTGAAACTGTTTATCTGTTTTACATTTTTGCTTCAATTCCTCACCATTCCCGTACGTATTAAAATATTTTTACTGGTCTACAATTCTACAGTTGTCATTTAGCAGATGCTTTTATCCAAAGCGACGTACATCAGAGAGTAAGTACAACACAAGCAAGGATCTAGAAGGTCTGCAGTAGGTGGTGGTTAAATCCAGTACATTATAAAATAATTAAAGGGACAATAATTAAACTTTTGCAGAAAAAACACCCTGAGAGATGTGATAAACATCGTGCTGAGAACTTCAAGAAGTTATTTCTTCATACCACTTTGACATAACTGCAACCAATTGCTGTTTGAAATATATTTACTATTTGTATTAAATGGACAAAAAGGTGCCCATCAACCTATTGATAAAAGCCTTATTATTAAAGGTTTACTGGTTCAGTGACATGTATCAGTTCATAAAAGGATTAAAGTCATTGAACAAATCATTGAAATCTACTCTTTTTGCAAATTAATGCAGATATCAATTGTGATTTTAACAGACTTAAACCCCAAGTAACAGAAATAGACAGAATATGGTAAACATGCTTGGAAAGAAAATGTAACTCAGTAGCAACTCAAATTACAGACAAGCTTTTCAAAAAGATGCATCTTTTTTTTCTCTTTTTTTTTTATATAAACATGGCACTCTGCAAGTTTTCAGAGAAACTTAAGGCCAAATAAACAAGCTCTGTACAGGCTGGTTCTGTGATGTGCAATTTGCTGATGCATCATATAATGTCAAAAGAGCAATCTTTAAATGAATTCATGGTCACGTGATGAAAAAATGTGTTGAAAAGGGGCTCAGTGGCTAAAAATAAAAACAGGATTGAAAGTCTGAATTCTAATAGAGGAAAAGGCATGCAGCATACATAGGAACGGTGACATGAATGTATGAAACGTGACATTTTCAGATTTTGTGTTATTTAAAAAGATGAATCACACATGGGCGCTTGTTCATACTGCTAAGTGGTCAACTTATATCATTGCTCACGCACACGCAGTCACACACTTGTGTCTGTTTGCAGGGTGGGGACCTGTCCACTAGAGGCGCTAGATGCTCACACATCAGCCTTGCTCATGAGGTAGATCTGCGGGGTGTAGGTCTACGCTGTAGCGCTCATCTATCCGCTGTGTTTCTGTGTGGGGCGGACAACAGCAGCAGCAGCAGCAGCAGCAGCAGCGTCGCGCCTTACCTTCCAGCTCAAGGAATGGACTGACTTTTATTGCTTCAACACGGCAACACTGACAAATCCTGTTTCTCCAAAGAGCGTTCAGACTTTAACTCAAACCAAGGATTGCTTTAATTTTGAAGTTGATTAGGGACGTCTTGACTAAAGCGACGACACAGATTAACTCTTTTTCTTTTTTCCCCCCACTCGCGAGATTTATTTGTAGTGGCTGGACGAAACGGGATTCAACTTAAACGAACCCGCAGACATTTTGTTATTTCTGAGATTTAGACCGTTTTTTTTTTTTTTTTTTTTTTCTTTGCATCGTACTTTTTTTTTTTCTTCACTCCCGTGCAGGCGCAGCTGTGCTGAAGACAGACAAGTCAAAAAAAGGGCTTTTGAAGGAGCACAAGACGACGGAAGAAAGCATTTACCCTGCCGCCTTCCTAGCTACATCCACACAGCGCTGTGTACATTAATTAATTTACACGCTTGTGTGCGTTGAAAAGCAACAGCGATGGATCATTTTGACTGACAAGCTTTTGAAGAATTAGCTAGCTTAGCCAGTGAGGAAACCAGAACTGATGGTAGTTTTCTGTCCACGGTAAATACAGGGTTTCAGACAGGCGTTAGGCGAATGGTCTTCTATCACCTCGACAAGCCACCGACTCGTTTAGAAACCTCGCGTACGGCTGCTTTAGTGCATCACTTATATTCAGCTTCATTATTTTTTTTGGTTTGCAGGCAGTGCTAGCCACCGTTAGCTTAGGATCCTGCTAGCGCTGGACAGCTCCTGTTAAAGGCTAGCTTTGGACAAAGGACCAAAACGCAAGGGAAAATATAAACACAGGGCACTCGGTTGATTGTGTTTTGGGAGGACAGCAACAAACAAGGAATTGACATGATGTTTCCACAATCAAGACACTCAGTAAGTGCATCTTAATTTGACTTTTGTTATGAAAATCATGTGTTTTCTCCACTGAACGCACCGAGTGATTTATCCACGCAGGTTATCTTCGTAGGCTGTAATGTATGCTGCCTGTTTTTATATTCAACCCCTGTATTCATTTACATAGAGATAACATGAGATGTATTGTACGACAGTATATGACTGCAGTGTCTTTAAGTTCTGCAGAAGAAGGTTTTTGGAAGAAAAAAAAACTATTTTAATGTAAGACTCATTGGTTATCCAATAAATCAAACACCTCCTGTGGATGCGTCGTGTTTCACCCTTGTGATTTTTTTTTTCCATCTTTGTGTCACTTTGGTCTCATTAGGCTGCATAATCTAAAATTCAGAGAAGCATTTTTTTTGTTTCTCATGTTAGCTGCTGGCCTGTTGTAACTAAACGGAGATGTTGTCATTCTGGTCATGGCATGGATACTGAACCAATCAAAGTTCACTGCACACTATTATGTGCAGGTGTTTTTTTTTAGTTTTTTTTTTAGCACACATCTCCCCTGCTCCCCTAAATCTCAAGTTTCCATGGTAACAGAAACTCAGTCCAGTCCTTCATCAGTGATGAAGTCTCTCAGCCCATTGGTCAAACATTTATGTTAAGTGACTGGATGAACTGTGTTTTTTTTGTCACTTAAGGGATCATGTCTGTGCTTCCAGTTAAGGGCTCACACAAGAAATGTAAGTAACACACATGAAATGTGTTACTGATTAAGAACCCACTCTAATCATAAATAGATCCCATCGTAATTAGTTCATTTTGGTTCAGTGAGAACATGCACTAAACCCCATTTCGTATCCCATCGTTATTCTTGCTTTTAAGTTCTTGTGTTAATGCAGCACAACAGTAAGAACACTTAATGAGGAGAATATATAATATGTGATTTATGGCCGCAGTAATCAAGTTGTAATGGAGTATTCTCTTGATTATTCTGGTGATTAATCAATTACATTTTTCATAGAATCCCTTTGCTTATTTGTTGCTGTGTTTTTGCCTTTAATCCTGTAACAATGCAAATTCCTCTCTTGTGGGACTTCTAAAGAATGAGCTCATCTTGTCTTATTACAAGGCCTAAACAAACATCATACTTTGAGTTCATTAAACTGGCTTATGTACATTTATTTATTATGTTGAAGGGATGCCCTTCAAATGTTTACTTAATAACAAATGTCTTGTCTTTTGTTAAGAAAAAAGCAAAGACATGTTTACTGTTTTTTAACAGTACATTAACATTTATTGATCTTAAATATGTCATGGTATAATTTTAACTTTATAATGTAAAAGGTAAATATGATTAGTGGGGACAGGGTTAATAATGATGTCCTTTGTGTGTATGCACTCAAACTTTATGCCACTCCTGCATTAGTCAGGGCCATAGCTGGGCAACCCCAGTCACAAAAGTCTGGATTCGCCCCACTTGTTGATCTGATGCTCTTGCAAGCTTGCCATGTTACTTTGGCCCAGCAGCAAGACAAGAGGGGGCAACAAGTGAAGGACAGGGACTCAACTTTCACCCAGGTCAAAGACAGTCAACTTCTTAAGCATTTCAATCTATTCTACAACGATCTCATCCGCAAGGACTGACTGAGAAAGTCACTGTCTGGTTTCATAGCTGTAAAGCATTTCCTATTGAGACCGAAAATACCTAGAAACAAACATAGAAAAATCAGAAGATGGTGCTGAAAGTACCTGTCTGGTCTTATTGTCTCTAAATTATGTTAAAAGCACAAACAGACTGTTTCTGTTGAGGAAACCCGTCAAGAGACTCTCTCGTTATAAGCCAATGCAGATTGCCCGCTGAGGAGCTCTCTTCCTCCGCTATAACTATAAACCAATAAAAATCCATCCACATCACCACAAAGAGGAGATTTTCTTTCACCTGCAATTGAATCCAAATCACTGTTATTAAAAGTGGATGTATTGTTCTACACCATCCAAAGTATTTAATTCAGTATGACTGGTCAAAGTATGACTGGCACTTACATTGCGATAACGATTAAATAGTGTCATATGTTGTGCAGCCCTAGTTGCCAGGGACTGTGACCTGTGTTTCTCTCTGGTACTGTCTTACTTTTTCTTTAGCCGCTGAAAGGCAAAGAAGTGTCTACTAAAGCTAGAACCTGAATGTCTTACGGGACATGAATGCTTTGCCCTTTGGCAGTCAGCCTGTGTGGAAGCCCAATTGTGGCTGTGGTGTGCTGCTGCTGCGGATCTGAGCCAGCTGATGTATGTTTGCAGACAAGGGAGCAGGATGGGAGATATGTGAACCTCTGGTTGCTGCCTGGCTTGTCAAATGAGTGAAGTCTTGCAAGGCAGTGTGTTCCACTGAGTTCAGCCTCTGTGTACTAAGATGGTCAGTCTGAAAAGCTGTATATCTTACAGCTACAGCTTTTGTTTTCCTTTCTGTTGACTTAGCCTTGATTAAATGTCTGTCAATAACTAAGACCAACTTAATGTACCTTGAATGAAATGGGTAAACACATTGACTTAAAGAGTACTATTTTGTGCTCTTCTTCATACGTCTGTACAATATCTAAGCTATATCCATTTGATTTTTCATGTATTATATATGAGACACTTAAGTTCTGGAGACATGGACAATGAGGGTAGATGTTGTCTAAAGCAGCTACATGTCACTATAGTAACAATGTTTTGACTGTAAAGTTGGAGAATTCAAGCACATTAAGAGTGTAATAGCAGGTAAAAATAAAGGGAAATTTGTTAACAGTGAAAGGTAAAGGTCTTAGGGTGCATTTCTGTTGATATTACTTTTGAAGGATCCATTTTAAGGCTTAGAACGTTGAGCTAGTTGATTAACATTATAGCACTGGAAAGAGTGTGTCGCTAAACGATGCTTTCAAAAGTCAACCCACTGGCTAGCTTTTTAGAATATTAGCAGTAGAAAGTGACATCTGTACAGTAGCAAAGCGATATTGGGAAAAAGGTTGACATTATTTTTCTTTCTGCACACCGCTACACATCGCATCGAGAAAGGCAATATTCGTCTTTTATAGCGCCGGATCCTTGAAAATAAAGACACCCATTCTAGATAATGTTAAGATAATATTCACCGGGGCGCTGGTGTATTCACCGACACTCATTTTCCGAATCACTTCGACAAGATGTCAGTGTCGAGCCCTGCTTTCATACTACTCTCTGGGGAAAGAGAAGAAGCAGTCATCTCCCGATGGTATAAGAACCAACTCACCTTTTCCAGGGTGAGAGCATCTGGGCCACTATGCCGCCTGGCTGCCTGCCTGCATGCCTGCCTGTTAGGAGGTTATTTTCCTAATCCTTGAGTACCCTTACACATCTTGACTTGAGTATTAAGACCAGACACATAGGATTAAAAAAATTAGGTTTTGTAAATTTTGCATGCCTACAGCTGCTTTAGCCTTAACCTGCTACAACAAGCCCCCAACAAATAATACACCTGTGTACTGACCCCCTCCCCACCCCCACTGTGCACAGACACACATCTTCCCTTCCTAAATCCTCTTTCTCCTCCATTGCTGCTGTCACAGGGGCCCAGGGATGAGAGAATGTGTGACACCCGTATAGATATGAGTGTCAAAGATAAGGAGGTGGAGGATGAGAGAGTAACAGCAGCACTGCCTCGTAATGACAGATGATGAATCTCTCAGACTGGCTCAGTTACCACAGAATCTGCCCTCTTTTATTTCCTGTCTTGCGCTCTGTGGTAGTATTAGTGTAAAGAATCTATACTGGGATATGAGATGAACAAATGTGCGTAATCTCAATTTTAGAAGGGCATAATCAGATGTCCTTCCATATCTAATTAAAGCTGCACAGGGTTTGGAGAAGCTGCTGTTTTGGTGGTGATGTTGGATATGTTTAATACATTGTATTTTAATAATGCTTTAATCTTTGTGAATTATGAATGATTTTTTTTTGGGATAAACACTTTATTGTTAAATGAAAGGGAAATAATCCATTTTATTGATTAACTGTTATATAAAGACATATCACAGAAGATTTTAAGACAGACACACACTGGGCTAGGCAATTTCCTGATTTCTACATTTTTTTTTCAAGATAAATACAGGTTCATGGCTATCTGTCATAAAGTTTTTCCACACGTGCATCCTTGAAAATCTGCCCCTTAAATCTTCCCGAGTTGCCTATTCTCAGAAGAAGACTCTCCCTGTTGGACGGGAGGGGTGTCAGGAGTCAGGACATGAAGTTAAGAAGATGTAACCGTATATCAACACGTTGTTGTATTTTATATTTCAAGTATGAATGAATGAGTGGTGCAGATCATACTTTCAAGAAAAGAGTATGAGACAGCTTCCCTACAAAAACAATGATCACACCAGTTGCTATATATATTGCTAACCTGTCGCATTGTAATACAATTCATCACCACTGCCCGCGTGCTTGCGATTCATTTTCCTGAACATTGCCTTGCCTATGTTCACATAATTGCTCACCCCACTTAATTTAGAATTTTAGTAGGGTGCTGGCTGGAGAAGTGCCGTCTGAAAAACTTGGCTGTTTTCATTCACACATGCAACTTACCTAAAAAAAAAAATCAATATTTTTGTGAATTTGTGGAGCACTAGCTTCACTTATGAATTGGATTTTTTAAGGAGAATTATTTTCAGTTCATAAAGTGAAAATTAAGTTTTGCTTCCGGGTTTATGTTTTTATCGATTCACTTAATTGCAACGGTGTTATCATATCTGTAAACCTCATAATAATTATGTTTTAGTACTAAAGTTAGGTACAAGAAAATCAAGGTTTAACAGAGGATGTGTCTCTTTTTTTAAGTCACTAGCACATCCACTGTCACAGACACAGTTCATTGGTTTTAAGAGGGAAAAGCCTCATTTGATAGTGACATAGTGCCTGACCCAGTTGATGGCATTTGCCATATTGTTTGGGTGTTGATTAATCCTAATGCAGCTTCAACAAAGCTGACTGTGGATTAAAAGTGGAGCAACAGAAAG